CCCATCCCTTATGAGTCTCTAACCAATTCACCAGGTCTGAGGAGGGAGGGATAGGGTCGTCCTTTCATTCAGCCCAAGGCCTGGATAATATTGACCTCATTTCCAATTAATGAAGAATGTGAGGAGGAAAGTGCAGCGCTGAGCGCTCTGCTTGCCGGAAGGCCTCAGGGCTTCGCCCTTTACAAGGTATGGGGTGGACTGAGGGAGGCCCAAATGGTTTTTGAGAATAAGAGATGTAGGTTTACCTTCTGACCATTAGGTGCTTTTCCAGGTGATAAGCCAGGATCACCTTTTTGGCCCTGAAAAACAAAATGGACGTTAGCGCACTGTCGAGAGTAATCTAACTTTCTGCAACAGGCATTAGTTCAATGAGAAGGATGAGCTCTACAATGCTGATTTTGGCTTTCCACACCCATGCTCACCAGGGCCGACCTCAAACCCTCACCTACGTAAGCGGACTCTGCCCACGGAACCACCAAACATTATCCCCCGTCTCACAGAACACCGTCTTGTATCTGAACAAACTCCCAGAGAGACTGAGCGCCACTCTCTTGATCTATTGAGAGACTGATTAATAGCACAACCATGGAGTCTCAGAAGCATCAGCAGGCTGCGTTCTGTGCCACCCAGTGCATCCTTAATCACTAGGGTGGTGCACCCCAAGGTTGGCCCCTCGGTGTTGACCCAAAGAAGACACAGAGGCAGCAAGGATGCACTTTCGGCACCTTCTACCTCCCCACCCTCAGCACGGTCCCTTCTGCCTTCTTCCAGCTCAGCGGGCAGGTCAGCAGCGATGGGTCCCTCCCCTCTAGCTCACAGAAGCCAGCCCTGGAAATGGACCTGGCGCCTCTCCAAGAAAGCAGGTTGGGTGTTTCAGGGCAGGGTTTGCCAGCCTTCAAGCTCTCTGCTAAGACAACATCCCACCATTGCCTGCAGTTGGGAGAAAGTTACCTCCCTGGGAGCTCTCCATGGTCCTGATTTCTGTGACCTCCCCTTTGCCAAAAGAGTGTTCGCCTGGCTAAAAGAGACCCAGCCTGGCGTCCGGCCACAGAAATGCCCTGCCATGACAGCCACTTTGATTTTAAATTTTATACATCTATAATTTGTGATTCTCTGTGTGTGTGTGTGTGTGTTTGTTTGTTTGTTTGTTTGTTTGTTTAGTTGTGTGATTTTTTTTTTGTAAGACCGTTCCAGGGTCCCATGAAGAAGATAGGAGTATAAATTAAAGGACTCAATAACAACAGTAGAAAAAGCCATGCTTGCCCTATGTTCTAATCCTAACACTTGTTCAAAGCCTTCAGAGGGTCAACTGGAGCTGAAAATGACTAAAGTCAAAACAAAGCACCAGTATATAATTTTATATACTCCGCCAGTCTACCTCTTTTCCCCCTTCTGCTAGAATCCCTTCCAAAAGTGAAATCAACAAGGAATTTGCCTGGTGGTCTGGTCAGTTTCAACACTTTCCTCTCTCCTGACCACAATTCCCAGTGTGCACAATGTAAACTGCATCCCTCCCCATCTGCTGGAGAGCACACGTTCGCTCCGCGTCGTGGCCCCCTCTTCTCCTCAGCGTCAGACTGGATGGCAACTATTCTATTTTGCCCTGAAATCAAGACCTGCCAAGAGGAAAACCAAGAAAGGCATAATTTAAACTGGTAAATCTTGGTTAAGTTCTAATATTCCTTTCCTCCCACTGCCTTGTGAACACAGTGTTGTTTCTGCCCAGCCAGGAAAGACTGAAGTAAAATCAAATGGGAATGTCCCCTTTCTCTCTGGCTGTCTGGTTTATGTTATGGAGAGGTCACTGCTATAAAAGCTAGGCTGAACTTTCTCCAGTGGGTTTGTCTGCCTTGATAATTTTTTTTCAGTTTTAGTTTGAGCACATCTGTACTGGAAACCCTGTTCTCGAGTCCCTACCCTTAAAACTCACGGACAGTCCAAGAGAAATAATTCCTCCGCACACTGAAAGCGAATTTCACCTTCCCTTCTGTTTCTCTGGCACAAAAGCCCTTTCTCCTTTCCAGAGACAGGACTCCCCCACAAGCAGGAACGGGAAAGAGGACTGGCATCTTTTGCTCATGAAGGCCCCCACCTCCAAATGTACCAAAGCAGTCTAAAGGGAGGCTCTGTGAACATGCTTGTTTGGGTCATTTGTCTGCAGAGGGAACCGTTTGCATAATTTTCTTACATCATTTTCATCTGTTTAGTTTCAAAACATGCATCCTCAAGACCTTGTACTCCATTCAGCCGCATTTGGGAACAGTGCAGGCACAGCTTTGTTTAAGCGCCTTTCGGTGAGTATAGGCTTTTGTTGTTTCACCAAATTCACTAGCCAACCTTTGCACCACCACCCACTCATCTTCTGGGGAGATTCAGATTTGCTCAAACTAAGACTGTCTTCTGTTACTCAGCTTCACCTTGGGCCCATCGACAAAGCAGAAATGTTAGCCGCGTAGGAGCTCAGAAATGAGATGGCTGCACAATTCCTCAGAGAGTCTCATTAGAAAACTGCTATCGTGTAATTACAACGGAGTTCCTTTCTTTTCTCTTTAAGTTACCCAGTGTTTTCTCAGTAATGCAGGGAGAGGACGGACAGCTGGACGAGCAGCAGCTCTGATTACATTCAGAGCGATCTCCCTCCTGTTCCATACTTTCTTCCAATTCCCACAAACTCTTCTAATTTTTTTTTCTCTCTGAATGAGCACTCCCTCCTGGCCCCACCCTCTGTAGCGCATGAACACACACACACACAAGCCTGGGCCAACTGGAGATGTGCTCATTGGGGAGAATTTTCTGGAGGAAGACTGCTGATTCAGTACAGATGTCGCTGCCCAAATTCTGAATGAAGGCTAGCTGGCTCTGCCAAGCGGTATATGAAATCATGCAGATCATTCCTCTTCTGCATGCAGCTGTTATCATAGCCAGAGTTCCTTTCTGTGGCACCTTCATTTCAAGCAGAGAGGCGCAAACGGCCACTCTTTTTAGCTACAGGGAGTGGTCCTTAAAGCTTTTGGAGGAGACGGGCAGAGGGCTTTTCTCACCAAATCAGTTCTACGGTTGGCTTTCAATCTGTGGCACCTTCATTTCAAGCAGAGAGGCATAAACGGCCACTTTTTTTAGCTACAGGGAGTGGTCCTTAAAGTTTTTGGAGGAGACGGGCAGAGGGCTTCTCTCACCAAATCAGATCCTCCTCATTTCTCAGAGAATGGATTTAAAGGTGGGCAGGGATTTGTCCCTCCAAAGATCCAAGGAATCCTGAAATGTTTCCCTCAGATGACCTCTGCATCCTCCAGGAATACCCAAAAGCAATTTCAGGGGGATGTTTCTTCCCCCAGAAAGACAAAGAAGGTGAATTTACTGCCAAGTGCCTCGTTCTGCAAAGAGACTAAGTTTTGCTTCATGAAAAAAAAAGAAGGGAGATGGATAGAAGTAATCAAAATATAAAGTATGCCTTCATTTCTGTCTTGAACAACCATCGTTCTCACCCACAGAAGCTGGCAATTGTGCAACTCGATGTATATCAGCTCATCTCGCATGTCATCCCGACTCCAGGCCATATTTAAAACATCAAAACCTCCAGCTGCCAAACCTACACTCCCCAAGGAAACTACATTTCTCTCTATCTGTTGAAAACGCAGGCCAACCTAGAACTACAGGAAACATTCAAACATGTCAGCCCACAGGAGAGCTGTAAGCTTTGCTCTGACACTCACTTCTTCCAAAGCAACAGAAAGACCTCCACCCGCCCAGGCAAGCCTCCGAAGTTCATCTCTTGTGCTCCAGAGGGTCATCTGGAGGCAGAATTCCACCCCCACCACCCCCAAGCTAATGAAGCAGGAAGTGTATCTCAAACCCAAACAGATGTAGCTGTCAAATTAAGAGATTGCACGATAACAACTCAAAACCCTCACTGACCAGACATTGAAGTCACTCTCTGTTGCCAAAAGAAATAAAAAGCAAGGCAGAAGCGAGCGAGACAGCAGCTGGTTGGGGGAGAAGAAAGGACAACCTGACAGGCAGGCTGACTGACAATCCTTGTAGCCCAACACAAAAAGTCTAAATTGCTGATTCTGGAACCAGTTTTAGCATCAATTGTAGACAGAAGGCAGAGTCTGGGCTGGCCAGAAGATCTTCATTTTAATCCACAGATGAAATCATCGTTTGCATGTAGGTTTGGGTTCCCAGCAATGTTGCTGCCCATTTTTTAACATCATTAAATCTTAGCACATATGAGCAAAACAACAGTATGACTCAAAACATATAAACAGCTGTCTTGAGCAAGGCAGGATTTCTGTTTCTATCATGGCGGGACCCAGGTTCTTTGTCCGGGTGACGAATGGAACGTAGAATCCCGAATTTGCTACAACAAAGACATGAGGAATTCTGACCCAGTAAAGTAAAAATAAAGATACAAAACAACATACATACACATCCCCACAAAAAGCAGTAGCAAGGTCAGTGGTTTAAATCTCTGTCCGCAGAGTTGGAAGTCAGGATATTTATTATTTATTTATTCCATTTATACCCCGCCTATCCGGTCATTGCGACCACTCTAGGCGGCTAGGAGTTCAAATTCCACCCCCAGTGCCTCCAGGGAGAAGATACAGCCTGGGTAGCCTTGGGCCAGCTGCACAGTCCCAGGGCACCCCCCCCAGAAGAAGGGAAGGGGAAACTGCTTCTGAGTCTTCTCCACCTGCAAAACCCTGGAAAGGGTCACCATAGGTCAGAATTGACTCGGCAGCACGTGATGATCTTTATTGATGCAACTCTTCCACACACACACACACACCTTGAAAGACACAGCCAAATGTTCATAACGCTCAATGCCAACTGAATATTCTGGAGCACTTCGGTGTAGAAGCAAAGCAGGGCAGCCACCACACCCTCCCTGCCTTCTGTCAAACCTAATTAAACCCACATTTTCAACTGCAGTGAAGCATCCTGCTTTTGCCAACATCTTGTTAATTCAGCAGATTACACGGCATATTCCTTCATCCACCTGCCCATGCAGTCTCGGGGGAGTGAAAAAATAATTCATACCATTTGCTTTTCTCCAGGGCATCTGATCCAGGCAAGCCTGCATGTGTTTCTACACTACACATAGCAAGGAACCCCGTCGGGCAATGTCCTAATTGTTCGTTTTTGTAAGCCATGCCAGGAGCCTTTTCTTAACACCAGCCAAAAGAAAAAATCTCTGCAGCAGCTGCAGCAACAATAACAACGGAACATGTTGACTTGGCCAAAAGTCCCAGGTTCCACCTTCATCATATCAACTTAGAAGGAACCCCATTCACACAATGCAATCTACAGAATCACAGGCACTGTGAAGACCAACACACACACACACATATATACATGGACTATATAGATCAACATTACAAGTTACAGCCCAACCAAATGCTATAGACAGACCATGGTTCAAAGAAGGAATCCCTTAACTCTTTTAAAATGTCTAATTGTTGCAGTGGGAGTGTTCCACACACCTCCCTCACTTTACACATTAGCCTGCTTTGTTTTGTCGTTGGTCACTCGGAGCTTAAGTACAGGCTTCGTTTGCAAGTATAATTACTCAGTCACGAAGCTAGGGCTGCATCGTAGAATCATAGAATGGTGAAGTTGGAAGGGGCCTCTAAGGCCATCAAGTCCAATCCCCTGCTCAAGGTAGGGATCGAAAATCAAAGCAGATCTCCCAGGTGGTTGTAGAAATTTCTCTTAAATGCCTTCACCTCTCACCACGGTGGTTGTCGAAATTTCTCTTGAATGCCTTCACCTCTCACCATGTCTCAAGGTAATTGGTTTCACTGTCTTACTGCGGTAACAGGAAGTTTTTCCTGATATTCAAACTCAAGGTAATTGGTTTCACTGTCTTACTGTGGTAACAGGAAGTTTTTCCTGATATTCAACCAAGATCTGGGTTCATGTAACAGATTTCAGATCTGAATGCAGGCTGTATAAGTATACTCTGGCCCCAATGTGAAAGCCTGCTCAAGATTTATCCATTCCTAAGCGCTATATAGCGAAAAAAGGATATTATAGATTCGCTACCTCTTACATTTAATACCTCAGGCGGTTGCCCCACCCTGTTTAATGAGTCAAAGAGAAGAAAACTTCCAAGTTTTCTTAATGCTTAGAATGATTACCAACAGCAAGCACACTAACATACACTCAAAGAAAAAAAAATCTTGATTCTGAAAGATCCCAGGCTGAAAATGTAGAAACACTGCAAAGTTTAAAGCCTTTGATATTGACTTATAAAAGTTTTTTTAAAAGGCATGAAGAAGTTTGGTCTGGAACTCATTCTCAAGAACATAAATACAAAAGGCTACAATGTCAATGGGATGGTTTGGGGTGTTTGCCTTTTTTTTTTTAACAACCTCACTTTTTCAGACTGTGTAACAGCGCTTTTCAAAATTGAGAACAGCTGTTGCCTGCTGACACATCTGGAGGCGGCTGCCAGTTCAAGGGAAACTCTCTTGTGCGGAAGGTTAAAAAATGTCGAAGTTTCTATTTGACTATAAGGGGATGGTGAGGGAAGGGAAACATTTATACTGTTTGTTTATTTGTTTGTCTGTAGTTATCTTGCATTATCTCCAGCGAGCTCAAATGTACCGTTTTCCTCCTTTGCACCTTATCCTCACAACCAACTAGTGAGGTAGGTCAGGGAAATAGAGAGAGAGAGAGAGAAACAGAGAGACAAAGGCCACATTGTGAGCTTCACAGCTCCGTGGAACCTGAACGCAGATCACTCAAATTCTACTCTGAAGCACACTAGTCAATACACTCCACTGGTTCATACTGGAGGCTGGCAAGTCCAATTCCAAGGGTGCTTGTGAGGTGATTCAGCTCTCCAAGGTCCTGAACCCCTTTCTCCCACAACAGCCCAGCCTCTTGGCTAATTCCTGAAAAACCGGAGAAAACCTTGGAGTGGATTCACTGCTCCCCTGGAATTGGAGCCCAGCCACCACTGTCACAGCAACTGCTCTTTTTCCCACTTCCGGCAGATGCACGGTGGCCTTCTTACTCGCAGCCCTCTTCTTCCTTACCTTAGGACCGGGTGGGCCAGGCCGTCCAGGATTTCCATGGGGACCAGGAGGACCCTAAGGAAAGAAACAACAAAGTCAGCATCAGTTTCCACCTTCCTGCACAACAGAGCCAACCCAATCCCCTACAGCTGCTTGGATTTATATATATAAAGCACATTGCAGTGGCCTGATCCAACTCAGCCATGTCTTTCTTCCTTGGAGGACAGACTCAGAATTTCCAAACAAGAGTTACAGAGTTATACCTCACTTGTTAGGAAATCTTATGTATGACTGTGTCATTTCCCAAGTTTGATCACATACACTGGAGGACGAACGATGTAAGAATAATATCAACATAGTAGTCCTGGTGGTGGTGGTGGTGGTGATGATCACCATCAGCATCATTGCAAGACCAATAGACCAAACCAAGTCATTTTACCTGGGGCGAAGACGGCACCCCCTTCCCAACTAGTTTTTAACGTTTACTTGCTTTTAATTATTCAGTCGTATGTTGATTACAATACAACTGATTTTTTTTTAATGTTTAACTTATTATGGTTTTAATTCTACTCTTTTAATATTGTGAGATGCCTTGGATGCCCTTATCAAGAGAACAGTGGCCTATCAATCCAACAAACAATCCAACAAATGGCACACATAAGAGACAGCTGGGCCAGCAGACAGAGCCCTTGACTGGTGATTCGGAATCATCTCCCACCACATTTTTCTCTCTTCTGATACCTCGGCTGCCACCTCCCACCATCTACCGCCTCTGGCAACTGCCTCGCTCTGCCTAGCAGCAAAGCCTGCTCTAAGCTTAACAAGGTTTCATTCCACTCTTAGCAGGCTTGAAGCACCCTCCAGCTTAATCGGAATGGGCAGGAAAGGGAGCATTTCAACTCACGTTGCAAGTAAGGGGGAAATTCTATTTTGCAGGTAAGTAGGGAGGGAAGGAGTTATTCGAGAACCGTTTAGCCCGTCTGTAAGCATGTGAGCCTCTGCCTGCTACAGGCTTCCCCACCTCTACAAAATAAAGCAAGCCAAGTCAGGAACATAACTTCCCCCATTGAGGGCTGCTCAGATTTCATGGAAAATGTATATTTCGGGATGCCATTTCATGCCAGAGCTCAGAGAGAACCCACCGCAGTAAAATTGAGAGAACAATCCTGCAATGTGTTCTCCAAAGGCGAAGGGGGAGGGGTGGTGGCCAGGGGGTTCCCAAAGGTGGCAGGGCTTGTAATCTGGATGGAATGTCATTCACAGGAAGCAAAAGGCAGCAAAGAGAAAGAAAAGCCTTCTCTTGGGGAAATCCAGGAAACACCAGCCAATGAGGGGTCATTGAAACTTAAATTCCCTCTTGAAAGAAAGAAAGAAAGAAAGAAAGAAAGAAAGAAAGAAAGAAAGAAAGAAAGAAAGAAAGAAAGAAAGAAAGAAAGAAAGAAAGAAAGAAAGAAAGAAAAGGTTTGTTGATTCCTCTTCTAACAAAAACATTACCTTCGGGTAGTGTGGGCGGCATATAAGTTAAATAAATAAATAAATAAATCTTAAGGATATTGGATTTGCACGATTCCTTTCCTTCGGGTGAATTCTGGAGTCTCCTCCAAAAACGGTCCAGAATCTCCTGGCTGAAGAAAAATTTAGGGACTGGCCAAGGCATGGATAGAGGGCATCCGTGAGGAATGAATGGCACGCTTTTCTCCTGTTGCTGGATAGACTTCACCCTGACCTTTGGTTTGTTGGAGTGGGAACAACATATTTGAAGGCAAACCAAAGAAACTGTTCCTTTAAACCCTTTCCGTCTGTCTCATTCTTTTTTCCCCCCTTTTGTTCCTTCACACACACACACCCGCCAACCCACCCTGTCACTACTCGGGTCTTCTAACTCACGAGTAAGAGACAACTGATGCAACGGAGCAAAGCCCCAGTTTCCACACTGCCAGGGAACAACCAAGGATCTCCTCTCCCAAGAGGCAGAGGATTGAGAAGGCAAGGCATGCCCCCCCCCTCTCTGGAGCCACATTTGGATCTAAAGAGTTGCAAATAATAGAAATTTCTTATGACTACTTGCTTTGGGGAGGGGGGGAGCTATAACAAGAACAAAATTACATTTCAAAAATAACAGAACCAACAGTTTCAAAACTGATGTGAGAGAGCTCCCCTACTCACCCGTGGTCCTCGTTTTCCAGGTGATCCTGGTAAACCGGGCAGGCCTGAGGGACCCTATAAACACAAAGAGAAGGCGCGTCACATAGGAAGCCACCTTAGCCTGAGTCAGAACGCTGGTCCATTTTAGCCCCACGTGGACACCTCCGACGGGCAACAGCATCCACTTCCCAGAGTGCCAGCCTCCCTGGTGTTCCCTTGGTGGTCTCCCACCCAAGAACGAACCAAGCCTGACTCTCTTTCGCTGCTGAGGTTAGTTGAAGACTGGGTGAATTCAGGTTGACAAAAATGGCACTGTTGTGTTTTCTGCAGCTTGTTTTTCCCGTTCATCTAACCGCCCAGAAATACAAGGAAAAAAAGAGACCGCAAACAGCCAAAAGGAGCATCCATCAGCAGAAGACTCAGATGAGGGTCAGACACACACACACCCCTTTGAACAGTGTTCCCTGCCGTGGATTGCCAGGCACTTAGCTCACACTCCAGACACACAATCCCTGGTTGCGGCCCCACACCTTTAAAAGGTATGCAGAGAAACGTAACAGCAGAACCCTAACCCTTCCCTGAATTCAACTAGTAGAGAATAATGAGGTCTCCCAATTACATGCTATCTTGGCTAGCTGTCTGGATGGTTGGTGAGGTTTGCACTGCAGGAATAATTTTAAAATCTGTACTTCTGAAGGTTTAAAGATCCAGAGGTCAAATACTTAAACTCTTCCAATCCAAGCTTTCCAGACAGACCAGAATGTTGGATGGTCCACAAAACCACTGGAGCTTTCCACTGTCATTGCATTTCCCACCTCCTCCTCCTCCTCCTCTCTTTGGCAGCCTCATTTCCCACCACCTCCTCCTCCTCCTCCTCTCTTTCTGGCAGCCTCGACCTGCAGAATAAACCAAGGTGTCTCCTCGAGGATTTATGATCAAGTAGCTCATTTCCACTCACCCCCTCGTGAGAGAGGAAGGGGAATGAGAGAGACCAGAAGGCATAAGAATGCTTGGAAGTCGGCCCTGACTTCTCAAGAGAGAGCTCTAGGGAACGCACGGCTTTTACCAAAAGTAGACCTCTGCGCTAAAAGCAGCTGCAGGTGTAAGCGGGGCCAAAATTAACAAGAGGGCATAGCTGGGAGGAGGGCCAAAGGACCCAGAATGCCACTCCAAACAGCCCTTCGTAATTTTCCCAGGCAAAAGGAGTGTCTGCAGATATGGCACCCAAAATTTGACTTTCTCCGGGAGCCTGGATGATGGAAAAAGGGAATTAATTTGCACTTCCTGGACTAATGAGCAAACTGGAATGCAGCTATCCCTCCGGCGTGAACCCTTCTGTGAATTCTGCCCCACACTTCTTGGCTCATAAAACGTATACCGAACCTGCCTATTAGAAGAAAAAGTGGTGTACAAATATATTTATATTAAGGAAGGCTGTGCACACACCATTGCCAGCTGCAATGCCAAAGAGAGAGAGAGTTACGATCCCCCACAATACCTCTGAGAAACTTTCCTTGATCTCCAAGTGCTTCCGGACGCAAACCGCCCTGCTGATGCTGTCAAAGAAGGCCCTCACGCTTTCGAAGGACAAGGCAAGATGAATATCCTGCTGATCCTTTCTGGACAGCAGCATGCCAAAGAACAAGCCACAGAGCTTAAGAAGGCCTTGCTCTGACTGCAGGAATGTAAACGCAACCACAGTGTTTAGAACGGAGGGTGCCTTCACCGAAGGCCGTTCTGTGCTACAGGCTTAAGAAGAAAAGAATCCACTTAGAACAGTGGCACGTAACCTTGTGTCTCCAGATGTTCTTGGGTCCAGAAGTTCTGAAATCCTGGCCAGCACGTCTGGCTACGAAAGGCTTTTAGTTCAAGAACTTCTGGGGTCCCAAGGCTGGGAAACCCTGCCCTGAGAGAAGATAGCCGTTGGTAGAGAAAAGGCAGTCAACGGGTCTTTGGGGCAGTGTATTCAGGGGGTCATCCAGTGTGCTTTGTCCATAAACATGTGAGAATGGCGATAACATTTCAGCATCAACGGCTGCTTTTCAGGAATCCGGCCACTCCATGCCAACCCTTTCCCTCTTTTCCAGCTTCCTGATTTCCACCCATGCTATCATCCCTACTGCCCGTGTCGGCTGGGATTTTTGGGCTTTGTAGGTCAGGACCTCCGGAAGGCTCCCAGGAGCTAAGAACCTCCAGTTGCCTTCCCCGGCAGGTGGACGCTCGGCGTTAGACAGGACACCCGTTTGTTCCACACGCCGTTATGTCAAGTCACAACCTTGTGTTGCTACACAAAGGGCCCAGCTCATTAGCACTGAGAGAAGCAAACTAGAGCAAAGCAAACAAAAACCCAAATATAGAAACTGTTACATAATTCAGCTTGCAGGAGCCAAGTATTTCATCTTAATTACCAGAAAGAGGTGGAACGGCCAAAATATTGGACGTTCAAGGAGATGGCCTGGGTTAGCGGCTGTAATCTGGCTTCACCTTCCTTTGTTCCACCTAAACCTCACCTTCCAGTGGGCTCTCCGGGACCTTGTTTGGAGAGTTTGGTAAAATAAATGAAAACCAAACAAAAATGAAAATCTGCCAACACACAACTCTTACGCTTGAGACAACCAAAGGTTGGAAAAGCGACTTTGGGAGGCCTACAGCTTCCAGAACTTTCTCAGGGAGGCAGTGGTGCAGAATGTTGTAACATGGAGGATATACAAGGTGGGGGAATACCTGGCTCAGCAAAACAACGAGCGAGAAGGATCTTGGAATTGTCGTAGATCACAAGCTAAATACTATATGAGCCAACAGTGTGATGTGGCTACAAAAAAGGCTAATGCTATTTTAGGCTGCATTAACAGAAGTATAGTTTCCAAATCCTGCGAAGTGCTGGTCCCCCTCTATTCAGCAGTGGTGAGGCCTGACCTTAAGTATTGTGTCCACTCCTGGACACCCCACGTCAAGAAGGATGCTAACAAATTGGAACAAGTTCAGAGGAAGGCGACAAGGATGATGATCCGGGGACCGGAAACCAAGCCTTGTGAGGAAAGGCTGAAAGAACTGGGCCTGTTTAGCTTTAAGAAAAGAAGACTGAGGGGAGACAAGATAGCACTTTTCAAATATTTGAAAGGCTGTCCTACAGATGAGGGGCAGGATCTGTTCTCAATCATCCCAGAGTGCAGGACACACAACAATGGGCTCAAGTTAAAGGAAGCCAGATTTCGGTTGAATGTCAGGAAAAACGTCCCAACTGTTAGAGCAGTATGACAATGGAACCAGTGACCTCGGGAGTGGGTGAGTGCTCTAACACTGGAAGCCTTCAAGAAAAACTTAGATAATCACCTAGCAGATATCCTTTGATTTGGATTCCTGCACTGAGCAGGGGGGTTGGACTTGATGGCCTTGTAGGCCCCTTCCAACTTCACTTTTCTATTGTTCTATGATTCCTAAGCTCTGCAGTTCGTGAGAAGTAAGACAAGGGATTAGGGGCCTGGAAATGGCACCCTTCCCCCCCCCCATAAAATATCTGCCAGCCAGAGTGTCCAGTTCTGGGACTAACACTCCAAAATGTACTGTTCCCCAGCTTTGCACAGAGGAAGATCAAGCCAAGCCAACAAGATGGAAGAGGGGGTGAACCGACCATGAAGGAAGGGCGGGATCTCCCCCCCCCGCTAAAAACATACCAGAGGATCCGCGGAAGTAGGGGAGGGTTTGGGGTTATTTTTTTACTGAAGTGAGGGTGGCATGGGGAGGTCCTATCCAGCCAAAAGGGACGTGGACAAACACCTAGAGCATGAGGCTATCTGTGGCCACTCGTCCCGATAATCACATTCCTCCCCATTTTCAGAGACCGCTCATCTCTTATTAACACTTGCCAAGAAACAGGAGTAGGATGGTAAATGTGCAGCTCACATCCTAAACAGAAATATCTCTGGTCCAACCTCGCATAGCTCTTCAGACCTTCTTATCATTCACAGCATTCTGCAAATGATCTATGCCGCTTCAATGGGCTTGAACAAAAGCGGTTCTCAGTCTCTGGCCGATCCTATGTTTTGGACTCCATTTCCCAGAAATGCAAGCCAGCACGGCTGATGGTCAAGGACTCTGGGAATTGAAGTCCGTAAAAGATGGAGAAGTTAAAACTGAGAAGCATTTTCTTCAACGTGCTTCGTCACCCTTCCCCAGTCCCACATAATTACAGGGCCAAGCCACAATCAAACCTTACGGAGGATATTCTCCTCCCCAGCCCTCCTTATCACCGTTTTCCACAAAAAATAATTTCTGGGAAGCCCCAGTGATACAACGCTGCTGGGAGCCGTTCATTCTCAGCCTGCCATTGCCTTGGTCAAACCAAGGATGAGTAGACGGGGCTAGGATATTGACAGCTGCCAGCTGGAGGAGCAGAGCTGGACCGAGGCTCACCGCCCTAACCTCCTCAGGGATGCCTGCCAAGAGCAAAGAGGCGTTTTGCCTGTGCGGTTACTCAACCAGAGAGCAATTTATTATCAACATCTGCATTTGTCTGGCGGCATCAAAGCTAGGAAGTTCCATTTCTCAAGATGCCTTGCTCTGCATTCTGGGCAAATCCAGTAAAATACTACAGAAAAAGAAAGAGGGGAAAAAAAGAGGAGGGGAAAAAAAAACATGGAAAATCTTTTACAAATTAGTCACCACAAAGGTCAACGAAGCCAACTTGAGCATAGCTGTAACCTTTCTCTCACTACTGTGGCTCAGTTCATCGCCTGGGAGGTCAAAGCGAGGCGGTAGCGCAATTGCTCACTCTGCCCAAGACTGGTGGGCTGAACTTTCTGCAGAGGATGGAGAAACAGCTGTAATTCAGTCCAAGAATGAATCAAAGACCAAGGGTCATCCCTTGCAGTCTCTTCGCAGGGGACCCCCACGCTCGCCGCTTTGCTGGAATTCCAGATTGTGACAGAAGAGGGAGGGAGAAAGTGTGTCTCTCCAAAAAAAGTCTCCATTCTTTCAGTTTGGCAGTGAATTCTGTTCTTCTGGGACAGATGGGAGCAGAACGGATACAATGCAAGAGATACAGGGATCACAGAACCCATTGACAATTCGGGCATTCTTTAGGAATGGTCTAGGTAAACGGCTTGGGATGAATCACAGAGTATTAGTGCATCTTGTTCAAAACTGTCTCTGCCAAGATTGTACAGAAATCTGGTTTGGGGGACCAAACTGAGGCCTGTGGAATGTATGGCAGTTCAATCCAGTGACATTTCTATTCCATACCATTCAGCTTGTGCCCAGATCCAAAACAATTGGTTAATTTGTAAGGTCGCTGCACTGGAAAACCAAAACGGCTGTAACTTTTTGGTTGTGCACTTATGCACATGAAATGTGGAGACATGATAGACTTTAACTAAGGTGAGTAAACCTGACAGATTTCGAACAACTAGCTGCAGAAGTTGGCACAGCAGTCGCCCTTAACGTTTCGATTTTTCCAAACCAAAAAAACAGGAGGCTGGTTCAATTTGCACCCCATTTGGTTTGAACTGCGCCCTGGACCCAATTCACTTCACTTTGCCCCAGAATGAAACCCAGCCGTTCCTGCTTCAATCCAGACCAGATAGATATCAATTTGAAACAGGACCATTCAAAGTTCAGGATTTGGGTTTGGCCTGAATCCAGAGCACAAGTCCTTGTCTATAGATTTGAGATATTACTGACATCTGAGAAAAGATGTCGGGGACAGAGCCTGGAACATGTTTCATGAAAATAAGGGACTCTGACCACTGGAACTATCCACCTAAGAAAAATAAAGCAAGACTGTAAGCGTCATCATTTTGAATTTTAAAAAGGCAGGATTATACTGGAATGTAGAAAGCTGTCTACCAATGAGCCAAAGAATGCATTACTGTTAACATCGACTGTGACGATGTGCAGGAAGTAATAATAATAATAACCTTAGAACTGCAGAACTGGAACGGGCCCTCTGGAGTCGAGTCCCTGTCAAGGAGGCCCGGGGGGGGGCGGGATTCGAACTCCCTGCCTCTGGCTCCCGAGTCCCTGTCAAGGAGGCCCGGGGGGGGCGGGATTCGAACACCCAGCCTCTGGCTCTGCAGCCAGAAACCACTGAGCTGTCCAGCAATTTATTTCAGTCCTGTTGGAACCCTTCCATCTGGCCTGATTGCGCAACCTTTCCCCATGGATCCATGGCATGGGCCTTATCTCAAGATACCTGCAAAGGTTTAGAACCTAAGAGAGCCACGTAACGCCCCAGAACTTGTGGTTATTTTAAAAGGGGAGGGGACTAGAAGTTCTTGGAGGCCAAAAAAACAGAAGCGGGGTTTCATTTGCAAAACCCAGAAAGAGGACGAGGGGTGGAGGGAAGAAAACATGGAATAATGCAATTGGAAAGCACTGACATTCCCGGAAAATGGAAGATTATTGATTCCATTATCTTTATAACATTTCTATTCTTCTTTTTTTCTTTCTAAAGGATGTGGTGTTTTCCCAAAGAGCTAGGCATCTCTCACCAATTTGCTGGCCAAATCAATACACTTCTGCTTTCCCTTATACTCAGGGAAATACCTGCTTTTCAATGGTAGCATACAGGGTTTACGCATTTTAAAAAAGGCCTAGATTCAATCCCCTTCTACACCTCTGGGAGCTTTACACCCATGTAAAGCTGCTCTCAGCCAATACAAGGCAATACAAAACTATGGATCAAGAGTCCAGCTATCTATCTACAAGGCCTGCTTATGTCGCATCCTTTTATGCCAAATAATAGTGATTTCAGTCCTTCCGCCTTGGCACAGAGGCTGAGCTAAGAAAGCGCCCTGAAGTTGGCAACACAGGCGAAGGAAGGTAATGTATTAAAATGAAATTCCATCACCACACAAAGTTGAAGGAGGGGGGCAGCAAAGTGTCACTCCAAAGCCTTTCCTGCTGCTCAGAAAAACAACATATATTTCCACTCCTCAAAGCTTATAGGAATAAAAAATGCACACACACCCGAACACACATATACGCAGATTCCCTTTGGGTAGGGGGAAGAGGTGGAAAGTCAGCTTCCAGATTTGCCCAAGCTGTAAACATGGTCTCCTCTCCTCTCAACATGCGCCTCTCTGGACACCGTCTCGCAACCTAACACATTTTTGTACACTTTTTTTTTTCCGAGCCAAAAGCTGCACAGCCAAATTCAGGCAGATTTTGTGTACAGTCAGTACATATTGTAACTGCATATACCTTTCTGCATATTTAGTTTGGGGAGTGCAAATGAGGTTAGTTCCCTTAGAAGGATGGACCATGCCAATTTCTCCTTACTCATCCTTATCTTCTAGTGTGCACGCCTGTGAGCCCAGGAACAGAAATTCTTAGGGAGCCAACAGTCCACACACCTAAGCACCACCTGGAGGTCACAGGTCTACAGCGTCCCCGCATCCCATTCACCGAAAGAAGTTTTAAAAGGTGCCAGGCCGCCGCGAGACACAGACGCCCAAAGATCAACCTGCACAAAACTCAAAATCTGTGCCAAATTCAGACGGCAAATGGAACAAGCGGCCTTCTGGAAAGGGAGGAAGACCTTGTGGATGGAAAGCTGGACGCCAGGAGGAAAGAGTTCTAAGTGGACCTTTTTTAGCCATCTCCCTGATTTGCCAATTTTCCACATGGAGTTCTTTTTCTCATGGAGGAACCTATGCATCCCTATGGTGTTGCACTACATGATCTGTTGGGTGTGTGTGTGTGCGTGCGCGTGCGCACTCACACACACCAATCCAAAGGCTGAGATGGGGAGGCCTCATCGCTTCCCTGTCTAGTCCACAGTGGGTCTAGGGCCATGGCTCCCAACCTTGGGCAACACGGGTGTCCTTGGACTACAACGCCCAGGATCCCTGGCCAGCACCTTGGCAGTCACCTAAGGCTAGGAACCAGGGGCTCAGGGAAAACCTCTGGCATCAGAGGACATTGCCGTTATCTGCCATGTTAAGAGGCATGCTCACGCCTGTTCCTGTCGGTCCCCTCCACCTGGGGCATCGTTGGCAGTCACCTAAGGCTAGGAACCAGGGAAATCCTCTGGCATCAGAGGACATTGCTGTTATCTGCCACGTTAAGAGGCATGCTCGTGCCTGTTCCTGTCAGTCCCCTCCACCTGGGGCATCCCCCACCTGAAACCAGTTCCTCCGTCCCCGATCTAAGAGACCATGCCCACTCCAGAGATGGAAACAACACAATTTAACCACCAAGATGAACATAAGCCTCGACTCCTTTTCTCAGCTGCTCAAGAGAAAGTGCGTGAAGAAAGCTGCCACTTACCGAAGGGCCTCGGTCTCCTTTGGGGCCGGGGAGCCCCATGAGAAACGGATACAGGGTGGGCCCAATGGGGTCAAACAGCTGATACCCATCTACGGCGGCCGGTGTGGTTAAATTCAGGCTTTGCACATTCATCCTGAGGACAGGGTAAGTGGCTCCAAGGGCCGGTTTGGTATACAGGACAGCAGCCTCGGTGGGCCCCGGTTTCTTCAGTGCTGGCAAGCTCATCGACGTCTTCGCTGCAGGGCCTTTGGTCACACTCTGTGTCTTTTGTTTCAGGGTCACCGGAGGGAGGCTGCTGGACGAACTGGCGTTTTTCTTCATCGTTGGCTTCGTGGTGCTAGCTGTGAAAGAAGACCTGGAAGTGCGGCTCTGGCTGATCACCCGTTGGGCCTCTTTCGTCCCCTCTTTGTGACGGACGATGGAAGCAGAGCTTAGGGTCGAGTTTGGGAAGGCCAACGTGGAAGAATGAGGCTTTTCCAGACTTACACTGGAAGAGGAATGAGGTTTCTCAAACGCTGTTACGGTCCTCGTCCGGTGAGCTGGACGAGTGACGGTAGCAGTCCGACGGAGCTGGGCTTCAGTGTTTGGCAGGACGGGAGAGGAGGCCACGATGGTCTTGGCAGCTTTGGGGGTCGGTGGTGGAGCTGGGGGCTTCGATGGTGCGCTGGTGGTGGATGCCACCAGTCTCTTGCTCCTCTGAGCAGTGGTGGCCCTGAAGACAGACAACGGGGGGATTACAGTGGTCAGGTTCAGCAAGCCCAGGAGAGAAAGGTCCGTTTGGGGTACAATCATCTCAGAAGCTCTCGGGTCTTTGGGCAGTAGCGGGACAAGAGGCTGCAGATTCGGCCGATACGTATCCGTTTGCCTGCATTGTTTTTTCAGGTACTTACAGTAATTATGAGCTGCCTTGGCAGAAGGATAAATATCAAATTGGCACAGGGCACCTTCAAACTGTACGGAGTGCTGGTTGAGTTTCCCTAAGAGGAAAGACCCGCCGGGGTCCAGGGTCTCGTCCTTTTTGTGATGCAAATCTGCATGCACCCTCTGCTTCCCGCAAGAGGTAAACAAGGTGACGGCCTGGCCTCGGATGTCAAGGGCCAAGTTATGCCACCGTCCGTCGTGGACATTGTAATCGAAATATACAGAGCGCTTGTGGCCCACGTAGACAATGATCTTCCCAGGGATGAACTGCACCCCCAGCTGCAGCTTCTTCTTTGCGCTCTTGACGGCGAATAAAAAAGCACTGTTGACTCGATGGGAGCACAGGCTCAGCACGAAAGCCAAGTCCGTGCCGAAGGAGGCGGGGATAACGGTACTGACAGGCACCTCGATGCGCGCGCGCTGGGTGAAGATGACCCCTGACTTGAAGGGGATGACTCCCTGAGGAACGGAGCGGGACGAAGAACTCGACGTCCTTGGGCCCACCAGGCCCAACCTCTGAAGAAGGTCCACATCTGAAAAGCAACAGGAGTCGGTCAGGTGAGGCCGGTCAAGGCCTTCCTTCCACAGCCACCGACAGGGCTGTGGAAGGGACGCGTGACAAAACAACAAGCAACTTGCAACTGACACATCTGAAAAGCAACAGGAGTCGGTCAGTCAAGGCCTTCCTTCCACAGCCATCGACAGGGCTTGGAAGGGACGTGTGACAAAACAACAAGCAACTTGCAACTGCCACGTTTCGTAATGATTAAGGCAGCATGAAGCGTATCCACACTACAGTGGACCCTTGACTTACAGACGGCTTGACTTACAGACTTTTTGAGTTACAGACTTCTCTGGCCGCAAAATTTAGGTTTGACTTGCAGACTGAGATTTGACTTACAGACCAGAAAAAAACCAAAATGGAACAAAAACGGCCTGTTACGGGATTAATCGGTTTTCAATGCACTGTAGGTCAATGGAGACTTGACTTACAGACTTTTTGACTTGAGAACCGCCTTCCAATACGGATTAAGTTCTCAAGTCAAGACCCCACTTATGTGGTTATAGCAGTTTGATTCCGCTTCAACCACCGCGGCTCTCCTCCAGTGGAACGCTGCCGTTTGCAGTGTGTTGAGAGACTACGAGAGAGTCCCCATCCGCTCTGTGGCATTACAGCAGAGAATGCACCATGTAGATGCTTCATCTACCCATGCAAGCCCCCCTGTGAGCCCTGAACCCTGATTTTTCCATATCCTTCCCTACATAGAATAACCGAACAGCCTCCTCCTCCTCTTCAGGCAGTCGCTTCTGTGCGTGGAAGGCAACAACAGAGGGGGGTGAGGCCAGCGTGCTCCCCTCCTCTGGCGTGCCCTTCAGGCAGGGAGGACAAGAAAAAGAGCCACCTTCTCGTTTGGGCACCTCCCTTGCTCATTTTCAAACCCACTAAAAAGGCAATTTAGAACAGCATGGCTGCTCCCCAGGACCTACTGCTGAAGGAAAAACTCAAGAAAACAAGGAGGAGTGGTTTCTCAAGGAGAACTTCAAGAGCAAGACACAAATATCAAAAAGAAGAACAAGGAGAAGAAGCGGGGCAGGGGGGAAGCAGTTGTATATTTGCAAGTTTCCCTTTCCTTCCAGGCTCTGCCGGAAAGAAAACAGCAGATATGTTTCAGGGTCAAGTGGAAAGGGCATGGAAATCTTCACTCCCATTACCTCTTCGGCTGAAGAGAAGAGATGATTCATGGCTATGACAAGCACAATTTATTAGCACTTGTATTTTGCTCTTGAAGTTCTTCTTGAGAACGCCTCCTTCCAGGGAAGTTTTTAATACTTATAGGCAAGGACAAATATGATAACGGAATGCTTTCAAATGCACAGATCTGCTTCTTGGAAGGGGAGGACTTTTATATCTGTCACGGTGGGAGGGCAGATTCTTTGGGAAAGATTAAGAAGCAGGGGGCTAAGACACCTTCTGGGGGTTGCTCATGGTTACAACCTCTTCCTCCAGCTTCCCCACAGATCTGTCCAAGATTCAAATTTTGTCAGACCCAGAATAAATCCAGGAGAGAAGATTTTCATACTGAAGGAGAAACGAGGTGTCACTTTTCATTTTCTCATGAGAAGAATTGCCATGGGGTTGCGAGTGTCTGTGTGCGCGCACGCCTGCAGCATTGATTTATGCAGTCATAGATTTCACACAGAGATGTCCGCCAAGCAGCAACCCATATTCATGCGAGGACTCTCTTTATTTGTCATCCTCTGCTCGGCTTGCACGTCACGGAGTGCTGAGTAATCACAGCGAAGTGCAAGCCTCTCTGAATCATCTCTTGCTCACAGTCTGCTATTAATAACAGTGTGGCATCATAACGGTGAAGATACTGGGCCAAGCACCAGGTTCAAACCTGCCTCAGCTGGGGCGCTTATTCACCCATCACCCAAGGGGAGGACAAAAAGAGAACAACGATTGCAATAAAACTGCAAATGCTGACTCATGGCAAATAAGTGCGTTGATGTAAAAGGCAGGTCATAAGAAGTGGGCCGACTCATATGTATAGAGGCAAACGGAAATTATTTTTATAATTTAAACAGAGTGATAATGCATCTCATTCAAGTGAGATTGAAGACATTGACTGGAGTCGGGGGGGGGGCTGTGTGTCTGCTGCTGGGCCTTTCCATCCAGGGGCTGCTCACAGTGGATGATGGGCAATGTCAAGGACTCTGATCCCCCTCCTCCTTGTGCTTCTCTGTCTTTATACCAGACTCAGGCTGGGCAGCCCTTCAGATAAGGGCAGGCAAAAGGGTCTGGATCCGGAGCTGCAAAAGCAGCCTCGCGAGCCACCTCTGAGCCCAGAGCCTCGCCCTCTCTACCGGGATCGACAAGAAGCCATCGTACAAACATCACATCCGTGGCCAAGCCAAAGAAAGAAAAATAGCATTGGGGGGGGGGGAACGCTCAGGAAACCAGGAGGCAGCGACAGAAAAATGTCAGGTTGCAGCCACCGAGTTTGACTGGGCAAAAGAGGGAGAAAAACAGGCCACAATTCTGCACCGCGGCCAGTTCCACCCCCTTTGGGTTCTGGCTCTGCCCACCAAGGGTTGAGCCTCATGACCAATTCTTCCCCCAGTCACGGAGAGGCAGGGTTCCCTGCCTTGTGACAGGCAACTGGTAACAAGTGCATCTGCACGAGCGAACGGTCCTGCAGCACTCATTGGCCGGTCCGAATCATGAGCCATTTCCTAGCCTGCGAGGACCGGTCTTGCCCACATGCCACTCTCCTTCATCATTTCAAGAGGGTCCCTCTCGGCAGGGACACTGGCAAGTCCTTGGGTCCAAATTCGAATCGTTGGCACCAAGTCCCAAGTCTGAGTCTCCCTTAAAAGCAAGCCCCCCTCCAAAAAAAAGAGGAAAGGGTGGGTGGATTCCAAATTGCAAGTTGAGTCATGGGGGGGTGGGGAACCAAACCAAGTTGATTAGCCGGTGCAACTTAAGTCCGACTTCGGAGCGAGTCTTGTGACTCGAGTCTCCATCCCTGTCTCTCGGGCCACCTGTGTTGACTCTCGCCAGTTTTAGACATGGCGGAGACTCCCAGGGTCAGCTCCATGCCCTTTGTATCTTCCGGTGTTTCCCACACGTATATGCCAGGCCTGTGAACGACCTTCTGAACAGCAACCCTTCCAACCGTCCTTCGGCAAAATGGCCGAGGAGATAATGCCATCAAGCCCGTCGCAATAACGCCTGGGTGGCGGCTGAAAGGGTGATCCGTCTCGTACGGAAGGAGGTTCCTGAATTATAAAACCATGAAGGCTGGCCCAACACATTTGGCGGCTGGAAGCAAAGGGCAAGCTGGCATGTGTCTGTATGTGTGCATGGACATTCATCGTTCCACGTACAGAAGTTGAATGGATGAGTAGTTGAGTCTCTCTTTTTTTGGAAAATTTCAAAAAAGCACCCCACCTTCCATGAGACAGCTTGAGGCTCCTCAGCAAACAGATCTCCCCTCCAACACCTTGATGCCACTTCCCACTTCCTGCCACCTGTCTCATGCCACCTAGCCCTGGGGCCACCCTTCACATGAAGGGCACAGGCACACTTATTTTCACTGTGGTCTGAAACGTGGCTTTCATCTGCACTGTGTCCCTTCTCTCTTTTTTTAAAACAGCGTTTCCTTCACAATTCTACAGCTTTGCAGTTTTTGTATTTCACATCCAGGCTTTGTTTGCAACAGGAATGTGACTGATAACTCACATAAAGAAATGATGACTAGACTAGACAAGGATTTCCCACTTCCTGTTAAAAAACAAAAAGGATAGAACTGGGCAAAGTTTACCTTCAGGACTTCCCTGCGAGAATCCAAAGAAACAGGTTAAATAGAAAATGGTCCAGAGAGAAGGAAATCCCCTGGAAAAAAGAAGAAAAAGAAAACGGTTTAATAAAATATCTAAAACAGAAACTTAAGATAGTTTTGCAGTTCAGAGAGGAGAGGTGATCCAGATAAGGCACACTCACACTGAAACAAATAGTTAACCTTAAAGGTGTTACAACACTCCTCCTTTTGTCACATTTCTGTATCTGTTGCTGAAACAAGGCTACCTGGGCTACGTCTCTGACATTTTTCTTCCTGCTGCTCTACAACAGACCCTTAGGCTGGCCTACATGGCTGCTCAACTCATGTCTACAAGGATAAGACCCACCACTCCGCCGATCTTCCCACCATGTAGTCAATCTGAAATCAATACACATGCATTTGTGTATGCGTCCGCGCATGTGCATTTCCCAAATTGCCTTTCTAACCCACCAAACACTCTTCATGAACATTTTCTCATGAATGCAAAGAACAAGAGCAGGAGAGAGAGAAAGGAGATGCCCGTCAGGTCCCAACTGGCACCAGATTTTCTTATCGTAGCTTTTGCATACTGTGAATACCCTAGAAGACTAAATTGAGGCTGGCATCCAAAAAAAAATTAGCAGAGGAAAGGAACACATACATATGTATGCTATCCCCTTTTCATGGATACAGCGACTGCTGATTCCGGTTATGAGACCTGCAGCTGGCAGGGGATAACAGTTATGACAGAATTTAGAGAAGGAAGATGGTGTTAAGAAGTGAAGCAACAGAAAGGAGGAAAGGGATGTGTACCCCCAAAGTTTCTCCTGCACCCACTCGGCTGGCTAGCTGCTTTCAAGTGTGGGGCTATCGCATTACCCCCATGGAAGAAAGACTGATTCAAGTCAGCTCCTGCACATTGAAGGGAAGGGAATGCCATCTTATTATATGCCATGAGCGACCAAATGCCTTGAGCAGGCCCAGGCTTTGAACCATCGAGACAATGCTGCAGGGCAGGTATGTCGAGCGCACACCCTCTCAGCTTTTAAATTAGCAAATTTAATCACCGAGCAAATGCCAAGCAGCATACAAGGGACAGCAGTATAGGTACAGTGATGAAAGAGCTCTGGGCAATGGATGCAAATGCAAGGTAAAATGCAGAGGATGCAGTGAGCTGAATTTCCAAGGAGGGGTCAATGCAGGGTAAAGGTCTGGTGAGGAAAGGTAGAAGGGATCAATAAAGGAAAAGGGAGGACTGAGGAGTGATAAGTGTACGTTATATTGCAACACCTGATAAGTGCTCTTATCTAGAAGAGGGCAAGGCTTGTTCTCTGCTGCTGCAAGGGACACCATGAGATCTAGAGCCCTTAAATCATCAATGGGCAGATTTTAGCTGAGAAGAGCAGCTGGACTGTGGAAGTGTATGAACTGGGAGTGGGTTAGAGGCTCCCCCTTGCTAAAGATCTCCATGTAGAAGCTCGAGAACTCTTTGTTGACAATTCTCTCTCTCTCTTTTTCTCATTCTTTCTGGATTTCCTGCTTCCAGCTGTAATTTAGACAACCAACAAGCCCCCCCCATTGTAATTTAGACAACCAACAAGCCCCCCCCTCCATCAAATGTCGCTGTTGTTTAGTTGTTAAGTCGTGTCTGACTCTTCGTGACCCTATGGACCACAGCACACCAGGCCCTTCCTGTCTTCCACTGCTCCCCGGAGTTGGGTCAAATGTAGGATTGTTTTAAAACCAAGAAGGGAACAACATAAGAACGTAGGAAGACGATTCATACAAAGTCAGGCCTGTGGTCTGTCTGGCTCAGTATTGTCGACACTGACTGGCAGCCAACTCTCCAGTGTTCCAGGCAGGCTCCCCTCCCTCCCAGTCCCACGTAGAGATGGTGGCGTTTGAACCTGTGCAAGGAAAGCAGGAGTACTTTTACTTAGCTATGTGCCCTTCCTCCTATCCAAATACTAATCAGGCCTGGTCCTGAACCAGACAAGACTGGGTTTGCTCAAAGTGGTGTGTTGGTTTAAAAGGAGGGGAGGCTGCAGGAGGGGCCACTATCAGGAGACATGAGCCCTGGAAGGAGGTCTCAGCAGGGCGAGTTGGACAGAGGCCTCCAACTCTTGGCTCACACAAGAAGGAGCCTTTCATGCCTTTCAGGGCTTTGAATTTACAGCATCTAAGATGCATCACTTCCCCAGGGGGAAGGGACTCAGGTCAAAAGGATGAGGAAAGGTGGGCTGGTGATCAGCAAAGGGATTAGGGTTTCAGGGACTAGAGGCCAATTTTCAATTGCCTTTTGCAAGCTCACCAAACAAGGGTTTGATAAATCACACACAAACACACCCAGGGGCCCAATTTTTTCTCCCAGGCAGTCACCAGCCTACACAGACAGGAAGGAGCTCTCCAGGGTTTCTCAATCCCACCTGACAATGACTGCAATTGAACCTGGAGTTGTCTTCATGACAAATGTATAGATCGGCCACTGGGTAAGAGTCTCATATGTGTTTCAATTGCCTGTTGAAGACTAAGCCAGCCCAGAATGCTCCTGGCAAGGACAATGACTGCAATTGAACCTGGAGTTGTCTTCATGACAAATGTATAGATCGGCCACTGGGTAAGAGTCTCATATGTGTTTCAATTGCCTGTTGAAGACTAAGCCAGCCCAGAATGGCAAGACTCTCTCTCTCTCTCTCTCTCTCACACACACACACCCCTCTGCTGTAAGGACTGCTCCATTACAGGAGCTATTAATGGTGTCGAATCCTCTCGCCAAAACAGGCTCAGCACTCTGGATAGCTCCTCTAATGTTCAAGCTAAAACCTGTAGTGGATTTAGTTCCATCACAAAGTAGGAGTCATCCACACCCTCCACTGAGTGGAGTGGCATAGTCTATCTCAACCTTCCTAATAAACAAAGACCCGGCGGCGCTTAGACACTAGGCATTTTGGCACCACCACCCCGCCAGTCTCCAACCTGCCTGTGAGAAAAGAGGTCCTTCCTCCCTGTGTCTCAACTGCTTTAAAAGCTGTCTGGGTGAGCGTAGTCCAACCCTTCTCTGAAACATCCATTCCGTGTGCCCTGATTTTCAAGTCAGCTGCATCTTTAGCTCTTTTTCTCCAATAAGCTAAAAGTATGGCTCTGTCTTTCTTCCTTCGCCCTCGATCCCCACCCCACCCCAACAAGTCTGTGGAGGTAGCTCAAGCTACAGTATGCAGCTCTGACTGGCCCAAGATTCCCCCCCAGTGAGTTTGGCGCTTGGCTAGGCATTCGAACCCAGGTCTCCGGAGTCTTAACCCAACAGGCCAATTGTTGCAAACAGCAGGTGTACCAATCCGAACAATCAAAAGGAGGCACCAATGCACGGTTAATTAATGGGTTGATTAATCTTAGTACGGCAAAGCTGGAAGGGACCCTATGGATCACGGAGTCCAGCCCCAGCCAAGGAGGGGACCCTTGGGGTCATCCAGTCCAGCCCCGGCCAAGGAGGCCCCGTGGGGGAACCGAACTCCCAGCCTCTGGCTCCACAGCCAAAGACCTGAACCGCTGAGCTCTCCGGAAGCTCTCACACAACATTCACCTGTTCTCTCTCTCTTTCTTTCTCTCCTTCTATTTTGCCAAGTTTCAGAAGCCTTTTCCATTGCAACCCACTCCCACCCCTCTCCTCTCTGACAGCTGCCTTCTGTCAGGCTCTCCCCCCTTCCCCTTTCCCCTTCTCTCTCCCTTCCTAGCCAGCTCCTGGGCAGGTGTTTCCCCTCCAAAGGCCCACGCCCAGCAAAGGTGAAAGGAGGGGGCGTGCAATTACCAAGGCTGCCAGACATGCTGTAGCTAAGTCTGGGCAAAACGGACCTGAGGGTCCATTTTCAGGTTACAACTTGTAGTTTGACACACACACACACACACACAAATGGATGCCTTTCTGCAAAGCCAGCCACAGGCAGGCCAGCTCAGGATAGCAAATTTGCAATAGTTTTGTGGTGAATATCGTAGTTGATCAATATCCAGAGACCTGCAGGTTCTACTCTGATCCTCAGCAGTGGCTCTGCAGGGTGTCTCGGGCGGAAGAAGGGTCTTTGCCCTCCACCACCTCCTCTCTGGTTCCTTTACGAAAAGAGCAATAGAGGGGCCAGGGACAGATCGGTCTCATCCAGCACTGTCCGCCCCTAACTTTCCCAGACCTCCAGGTGAGTTGATCTTTGACTAGAGCAATAACTAAGAGGTGGGAGTTCATTAAGACTGATGATAAGATCATTGTTTTTTTTGAGGTGGGAGTTCATTAAGACTGATGATAATATCATTGTGTTTTTTTAAAAAAAGCCCTCCTTGGTTCCCACAATACCGAATAATTAATGATAATAATAATTAATGATAATAATCTAATGTCCCATTCTTGGGGAAGGTGCTAGAGAGAGTGGTGGCCCCTCATCTCCGGAGATTCCTGGATGAGACACGGAGTATTGTGGACCCATTTCAATCTGGCTTCAGGAGGCCTGGTTGGGGGGCAGAGACGGCTTCGGTCACCTTGATAGATAAACTACTACAGGAGCCGGACAAGGGATCTGGGTCCCTGTTGGCTCTCAGCGGCTTCCGATCCTATCAACCACGATATCCTGCTGCCCTGTCTCTCTGGGGTGGGACTTGGGGGCACCGTTTTGCCGCGGCTCCTGGCCTTCCTGGGAGAACCCAGGTGATGGGGCTGGGGGGAGGGTTCCTGTTCGACACCCTGGCACCACTGACCTGTGTGTGTGTGGGGGGGGTCCCTCAAGGCTCTGTTTGGTCTCCTTTATTATTTAACATCTACATCACTGGTTCTTAACCTTGGGTTACTCAGGAGTTTTGGACTGCAACTCCCAGAAGCCTTCACCATCAGCTGTCCTGACTGGGGTTTCTGGGAGTTGCAGTTCAAAAGCATCCCAGTAGCAAAGGTTAAGAACCACTGATCTACATGAAACTGCTGGGAGGGATTGTCTGGAGTTTGGGGGGGTTCGGTGCCACCACTATGCGGGTGACACCCAACTCTCCCGCTCCTTGCCACCTAAATCCGAGGAAGCTGCTTCAGCTCTTCTAGATCAGCGTCTGGGATCCGGCACAGACTGGGTGAGGGTGAACAAACTGAAACTCAATCCAGGCAAGACAGAGGAGCTCCTGATCAATCGGAAGGCAGATCATGTTATAAGGGTGCAACCGGTACTGGATGGGGGCTGCCCTCCCACTGAAAAAAGCAGGCGCGCAGCTTGGGGGTGGCTCCTGGATTCATTCCTGAGGCTGGATGCCCAGGTCTCGGGGATGGCCAGAAGTGCATTTGCACAATTAAAACTAGTGTGCCAGCGACGTCCATTTCTTGCGAGTTCTGATCTGGCCACTGTGACCCATGCCTTAGTTGCTTCCCGGGCGGATTACTGTAATGCGCTCTATGTGAGGCTGCTGATGGAGAGTGTCAGGAAACTTCAATGGGTCCTGACTGGGGCTTGTTACAGGGATCACATAACGACGATGCCCCAAATACAGCAGCTCAACTGGCTGCTGATCAGTTACCTGGCACAATTCAAAGTGCTGTTTTTTTTAATTATAAAACCCTAATTGGCCTGGGTCCAAGCTATCTCAATGACTGTGTCTCCCACTATGAGCCGGCTCAGGTGTTAAGATCATCACGAGAGGCCTTTCTCTCCGTCCTGCCACCTTCACAGGTGCATTTAATGGGGACACAGGAGGGGGCCTTCTCTGTGGCTGCTCCCAGACTGTGGAACTCCCTCCCACTGGAAGCCATGCTGGCCCCATCTTTGCTGTCCTTCCGCCAGCAGGCAAAGACCTTTCTTTAAGGGCAAGCCTCCCCTCAGTAAACCAGTGTATCTTCAGTACTACTTGTGTTTTCCATTTTTATGTTTTCCATTTCTCAGAGTGACATTTTTAAAATTTTTGTGTACCTATTGATCTTTGCCTTAATATCGCCTGTTAATGATGCCTCTTTACTCTTTGTACTTAGCTTTCGACACTGCCTTTTTAATTATGTGAACCACGGTTGTATATTCATTGTTTTCAACTTCAGATATTGTCAGTCAGGCTGAGCCATCTCGAACCTGGATCTTAAAAACCAGGTCTCTGGTTGAGGAGACAGAGGTCAGAGGTCCAATGCCCCTCTGCCTGATTCCGCCAAGCGCTACCCAACACCACTGCTACTTCCTTTGGGAAGCCATCATCAGCCCTTCTGCTGACTTACTATCAGGGCCAATCCTTGAGCAAGAAGAGGGGGCAGGATTTGAACTCGGGACCCTCTGTCTTGGTTCTCTTGGAGCCGCTGCTGCTCCCCAGTAAACGGAGGAAGGCGTTTAATAGGGTCTGTCAGCCTTGGGAGTCACACTTCTCTTGGCCCCCCCCCCCAGCCTCTTTCCTCTCTCTGATGACACTCAGAGGCAGCAGGATTGGTGCTTAGTGGGGGGGAGGGCTTTCTTAGAGGCTGGGGTGCCTCTGTCCGCCACGGCCCAGCGTCCCCTCCCTCCCCCTCTAGCAAAAGGATGGCTTCCCCCCCCCCAAAGCACCACCACGTCTGCAAATCAAGGGAGCGGCGCGGCTCCCAAACCCTTCGCATCGCCCATCCCCGCCAGCCCGGCGGGCGGAACGGACCTTGGGATCAAAGAGGTCGGTCCAAGCGCTGGAGGAGAACAGAAAGAGACTTCCGGAGTGTCCCAGTAAGTTTTAAATAGTACAAAGTGGGCGGGGGGGGTTCTTCCCTGAAATAAACGCTCCTCTTCCTCCTCCTTTTCCCTGGTCTGTTTCCTTTCTTTCACGAAGGGCAGCAGGGGAGAGGGAGGAAAGCTTCCAGGGGGACCCTCTTCCAAGTCCCCGATTTTCTTTCCGGGCGCCGCTTCCTTCCTTGCTTCCTCGCCTCCCCGGAGAGCGGGAAAGGCTTTACCCAGCCCG